TCGAGTAATTCACTTGATATTTAGAGACGACTTTATCTGTCTAGTGGTGCTTTTCACGATTTTGATGTTGACACTGACAGTATCGCGTTCATCATTTAGGTTGGTAAGTTTAAGTCGTTAAATCTTGATGTTATAGTCAAGCCTTACAAGGTTTCTAATTCTAGTATTACAGGCCACTGTAGTGGTATTGGACCATAACCACACAATCTTCAAAGCTGAACACAACACTACTCAGAAAGTAGATATTCAATATTTAACACGGAGAAATACCTAACAATGGAGAAGGCGCGAACAATGAATTAAATTAATTGGAATTGATCGAATGGCGTGGCTCGGCCATGCGGGCGTGGTCCCTGCTGAATATTACCTTATATCTTTTATTCATATTAAATATATTGTTCTTTCTCTAGCCTAAGCTTGTTCTTCATCAGGTATTGGTAGTTGTTACGATACAGTGAGTTGGTGTAGACGATGATGTGACTTCAACGTAAGATCTTATAGATTAGGCAGTTATATCATGACAAATCTACAATTTTAGGATTAGGTCTATTATTAGAGCAGTACTAATATCATAGTAGACCATAGTTCTACACCACAAACATTCTATCCTTGGATATTGTAATTAATCAGAGATGATGAACCTTCAATCATAAATTGTGAATTCTTCATTACTGATTGTGAGCCATCTATCATGGGTCCAAAAAATTCAAGAATGCTCCAGGGACAGATTTCATAACTAGACAAAACATACAGACTAGGAAGTTTGTGTTCTCAAATGGCCTTATGATGAAGATCTTACTAAGATGGAGATGGAAGAAATTTTCAAAGCCAACTTCGCGGCCCAAGTGAACCGGGAACCTACAAGTACAGAACATTCCTCAACTCCAGTGCCAACTAATGGCCAGGTTGATATCTGACAAACTCCCAGGTTAGTACTAGGAAAGACTAAAGTCCTTGCTCCCAAGAAGGGACAGTATCGGACATATAATTCTGGAACAGTGTACAGAAGCCATTAGTACAACGGTATGCGACCTGTTCAAGCACTTTCCAGAATCACACCGGGTGAATGGAAACAAGCTACTCTCTCCGATCTTCATAGAAGGAGATAAAAGAGACCCAGCCTCCTACAGATCAGTAGCATTACTCCCAGTACTGTTGAGGGTGCTGGAAGGACTGAACAATGACCAAGTGGTCGAGTACATGAATAAAAAACAGCGTCCCCCATAAAATCCAACACAGGTTTAGAGAAAGCAGGTCATGTAGGTCCAGTCTCTCATAGTGAAGTTCAACCATGTTTGATGTGAGGCGGTTACCCACCGAAGATAATGGAAGATGGCTGAGTAACATCTTAAAATTGGTTGGAGTTAGGTATTAACAATGTTGGATCGTGGCTCAGTGGTCTGGAGGTTAAGCGTCCGTGCGTGGGATCGTGAATGTGCACTGCTCACCAGTCCCATACTGAAACAGAACGGTTGCCAAGTGCTCCCAGGTTTTCAGTGGTGCTCCAACATTGATTGGTTCATAATCTAAATAGATAAGAATTATAGTTAACTAGTCTCTATAGATATGTCATATGGGAGGATTGCCTCGATATTAAAATTTGATTAGTTTCAGCAAAATTCATTTGTAGCTACACGACTTAAGATAAGTATTTCGTCCTAACAAAAAAGGGAGAATAAAAACTAAATAACATCATGCCAGTTGACCAAGTTGATTACCTGACGTCAGTATACCAGTGAATATTGCGTAAGAGTATGTGATGAAAGGTAATGGAACCGAGTTGCAATGTAACAAACAACACTAGGTTACACATACCTCAACCAATGGGTCTTATATACAACAAAACATGTATCCAGAGTTTCACTGCTAGCCACAGTCCAGTTCTGGTAACATGTGGAATAACTGAGATGAAAAAGTCTCACTTCGAATTGTAGAATAAACAGCTAAGAAAATAACTCGCAATGGTTTAGTACGCTATACAGTTCATTACCTGATTACAAAAAATACAATCTACTGTTAAACTGAGTCGAACAAGCAGCATTTTGAACACAAACCATACAACATATCAAGCCTGTCTATCGTGTGATGAACAGATAGAGAGGTGGTTTAATAGCTAAGACATTGAACTACAAGATGGCACAATTCAATTTGCATCAACTTAGACGTCTAGGTACTTGTATCAATAGCCCCCACATAAATAGTGAAATACAGAGCCGATTACACGAGCCAATATTTGGTAGGTCGATTGGAACGATTACTGATTGGCGAAAAAATAGGACTTCATTCTAATCATATATTTTCATACATGATCATGATAATTTGACCAGTTAAATTTCATAACTATTTGTTCGATACTAAATCTGAAAATAGAGTTTATCAATATCACAGCGGTTGAACGTGAATGAATTGTATCTAAATCCTATACGTTGTTTACACAAAATGTAGATGTACATATCTACACATACAAAGAAAAAAGTTAATCGAATTTTTACAAAAACGAATAACATGGACAACTTCAATTGATTTTTTGGTAAAAGCATAGTATATGGATAAGCCAATCAGGACCAAGGATGCGACCACCAGACATTTGTCTGAAATTCAGATATTCCGTACAAAGAGCAGTAGAAATACCTTTGTTACTACTTAGAACATCTTAAATAGTTACGAGTTACTTTATTTTACCATAGAGTAAAAACAATAACGTTTAATTTAACAGTTGTTCAATTCTGTCTCTGTAGATTACGAATAACAGACAAAAGAAAATTCAATTTGGTGGTACTATATTTTATTGAACTAATCAAACAATGCTTCTCGCATTTTTGCACGAAATTCATTTATCCATATGGCTACAATGTATTATGGTTGTAATATAAGCCGTAAGTCTACACCTCCTGACTGAGAACAGTATGAGGCCTCTTTAAAATCTATTTGGATCCTTAGAGTTTGAAGAGAATAATCTTTGTCGATAAAGACGAATTTATATGACATTCCTTTAATTTTTAGGTAATTTATTCTGTATATGTAAGTAGATCCACAAAATGTGTAAAGTCAATTTATCCTATGTGATATTATTGTTTTTCTCTTCATAAATTACCCATTTGCAAAAGCTGTTTTGTGATGGACTAAGAGTTAGTTGAAAATTTTTGGCAACTGTTTTAAGCTCCTTTTGTACATACTAACCCGTTTCTTTTTACCACGATGTATTATTTCAAACAAAAAAAACAATCGACGAGAAGATATGAAATAAAGAAGGTGGGTGAGGGGGACAAGTACGAAAGCATAAAGTAAAACAGAATGTACACTTTTCCATATTTCGTAATGTTATTGTAATTTTTAGGTGAAACTGATAAATATTAGGTTTCCTTATTGGATTGTGCGTAACTCTGTATGTTGAAAATAATTGGTGTGATTTTATATAGAAAAGAAAAAAGAAAAAATGATATAGATAGCAAAACACAAACACCAATTGCTTAAGTTTATGAATTCAAGTTTATATATGGGTGTACGTGTGTACGTATACAGAGATACATATAGTTACACGTATAATAGATGTTTTAATTGTAAGCAGACTAACTGTTATGTTGAGTTTTGCGCTCACGGATAAAAAGTAGTTTAATAAAAACAAACTTCTCTAAGAAGGAAAATACACAAATTTCTTTTGCAAACGAACTAGATAACTTTTTTCTCTAAAAAAAGAAGACATACTTGATGCTGAGCCGTTGCTAATGGTGAATAACAATAGAACATTTTTTAGATATGGTAAACGATAACTGGTACTGCTATAAATGGATCATGGTCAGTGGTATTGATAACTTCAAAGTTGTTTAACTACTTTGAACGGTCATTAAAAAATAGTGAGGTGGAAAATTATCACAACAATAGAAAAGATCTAGTTGTGCAATATTTTACTCATGTTTTTATGTATAATCGCATAGTTTGGTGTTGATGAGGAGGAATAAAAATATGACGAATCATATGCATGCATATTATGAAGGATGTATTGTATGGATTGATATTGGAACAGAAAATGTTGATATTCCCTGACATTCTATAAACGTGTCTTTGTAAAGATTAGTTTTAAGAGTGATCAATCTAAATTGAACAAGCACCCATATTATGTATTTATATGGAGAAGAAAAACAAATGAAAGACTCATAACAACAATTTTTCTTTTCACATGCTTAAACAAAAATGCTGCTGACGTGTTATGAATGACACATGGATTATTTAACATAAATCATAATTTAGAAACAAACAATAAAATGAATCAACAAGTGAAAAAATCATTTGAATGAACTTGTGTGCATATGTGCGAAAATTGTTCATGGAAATGTAAACATTACACACAGAAAACGAAAGTATTCTATAGGTATGCAATCTGAGTATAATGTTAGAAGTGAATAGGGAATAAAAAGGGAAATATCCTGAAGTATTTACATTTATACTCATTCAAACACCTAAAAACACCGAAATGCATGTTTATATATGCACACAAAGAGAGAGAACCAAGCTAAAATGAATGAATATCCAGTTTTAAGGTAGTTAGTGCCACGAAATTAAATTGAAACATTTTCGAAAAAGTGATCAATGTCTAGTGAATTGCTATTTATTTGTTTATTTTAACGAAGCTCATTATTTTCGTTTTTTTCTTTTAATAAACAATTAACTACTGAAGATAAATACATGAAAATAGGTAAGAGATAAAGAAATTAGGAAAGACCGGGATAACCGCCAAATGTATTGATATTTTTAAACATTGGTAGATTGAATAATTTGATTTTAGATAGAATGAAACCGGACAACTAAACACAAACAAACGAATTCCTGTATAGATTTCATAAGAAAGTCTGGTGACGAAAACTTACCACACTAGTAAAGGAATAAATCTTTCTTGTTATTTTTCACAAGTATTTTGTTGTTTTGATGTATGTTGACTTATTGTTTCCTCTTCTTCAAAAAAATAAAATGATTAGTCAATTGACTGACTAGTTGTAGTAGAATTAGAAAAGCTGAGCTCTATGTTTTAAGTCATTACGTTTCCATTCCGGAAGACGATAAAATGCTGTTCGAGATAAAGCGAAAACCTGTTGAAATTCTTCATCGGATAAATGTGTCTGAAAAGTGACAACAATAGTGATGTTAATAACAAAGACTAATTAAAAGCGTGTGGTGGTGAAAGGGGGAAAAACAAAATTGATGTGTGGCCAGTGAAAGTTTAATCAACTTCTAAGTGTGAAAAAACAGGCACTCAGGTTACACTGACTACTAAATATGTGATTTTCTTTTCTGCTATATTGATTTATTCTCTGGGTTCATTAGATGTGGAATGCTTGTAATTGTGTGGAATAAAGTATTACTCTGGTTCTCTACCTTTGGTTGTGAATCGTGTATTTGATGTAACGTGGTTTAGTCTGTTGCATAGCGTATCGTTTAAGTATCCAATCTAGCGTTAATGTACTCTTGGTAACCAGGTTTATCATCGTATTAACGAAGTATACCAGACAGAAAACAAGTTTAATTTTTCCATTATATCAAAAACGTATAATCAAGATTACTCAAGTGTGATTTATTCATCAGTATTATAACGATCAGTCAGTCAGTCAGTAACAACGTAGAACTTCATACGTATGTACATCAGTTCGAGTTGCCAAACCACCTTGGCACAGAGATGCAGTGGTCGATTCAAACCCCGTAGTGGTAGAGGTAATAAGAGTATGAGTGTTTGGAGATGTTACTTAAAAAGTATAATACAGTGAAATAAATTTGAGCGGAGAAAAAAAAGACAAGGAGGAATAAGGAGATCAAAATTTGGGAGAACACAAAGAGTGGATGCACCTGAGCCATTGCAAACGATTTTGAGCCATGTCATTCAGGGTCTCTAATCATCGGTTGTTACCACCTCGCGGTCCCCAACCAGATAGTCTACACCTACCAACATGACTCAGTCCACTTGTCAGTGACTTCATGGACTTGTGCCATGTTTTGGTCTGGCCGCCTCTAGCTTTCTTCCAACCCACTCCTATACCAATGAACATCGCACGTCGAGGCAGTCGGTCGTTAAGCATACGTAACACGTGTCCCAGCCATCTCAACTGATGAAGTTTCACTACGTCATCAATTGATTTGCCATCCTTATCTAGTACACGTTTCCTAACAACTGCATTATTTACTCGATGGTCCCATGATATACGAGCAATGTTTCGAAGACACCTATGATCGAATACTAGTAACCTACGAATATCCTCTACTCTTACCGATCACGTTTCACTGCTATAAAGTAGGACGGAACGAACTGCTGCCCAGTGAACACGTCCTTTGGTTAGCAGACGGATATCTCGCCTACGCCATAAATGACGCAAGTTGGTAAAAGCTAGTCGAGCCTTCTGTATCTGTGCTGAGATTTCGTCATACACCAGACCACAAGAGCTGATGAGACTTCCAAGATAAGTGAAGCGGTCGACACGCTCAATTACTTTACTCCCTATCACTAGTTCGGGTGTCAACGCAACCCAACCCTGAAGCAACATTTTGCATTTCGAGGGAGAGAATCGCATCCCGAACATGCTTGCATTGTTGCTTAGAGTGGTCAGAAGACTCTGCATTTTGTCAGCGTCTTCACCAAATAAAACTATGTCATCAGCATATTCTAAATCAACAAGTGAACCTCCTGGTAGAAGTTCAACCCCTGGAAATCTAGACGAGGGAAGTGGTATCTTTAAAAGTACGTCAACGACAAAGTTGAACAAAAATGGGGAGAGTGAACAGTCCTGACGAACACCACTTGAGGTAATCAATTCTGGTGACAGTTCGCCATAAGCTCTCACTCGACCAGTTGTGTTCGAGTACAGAGCCTTTATAAGGTTAATGTACTTCTTTGGTACTCCTTTCAGTGACAAACACTTTCATAGAACCTCACGATCTACAGAGTCGAATGCCGCCTTAAGATCGAGAAATACTACCATTGTGGGGCGTCTGAATGTGTGTCTGTGTTCTAGAACCTGACGTAGTGTGAATATCTGATCTATACAACCACGTCCAGGTCGAAAACCAGCCTGGTTTTCTCTAATCTGCTCTTCACGAGCTTTGATTAGGCGTCGAAGTACTATTGAAGCTAATATTTTAGACACTATATTAGTCAAACTGATTCCTCTGTGATTGTCACAAGAGGACTTTTGTCCTTTCTTATAGACTGGCACAATCAGTTATTGAGACCAGTCAGATGGGATTACGTCCAGTTCCCAAATTCTACCTAAGACCTCGGTTAGTCTCAATGCTAATACTGGACCACCATCCTTAAAAATCTCAGGAGTAAACCTGTCAGGGCCTGCTGCTCTCCCTCGTTTCAGATTTCCTATGGCTTTTTCAAATTCGTAAAGAGACGGAGGACTTACATTAGCTTGCCATTCAGGTTGACTAGAGATCGTGGGAAACCGAAGTGTGGCTGAAGGCCAGTTGAACTGATCCCTGAAGTGTTCTGCCCATCGATCCAATCTCCTGGATTAAGAATGAATAATATGTCCATCTTTCTCTGAGATTGTTTCGCTAACGGTCGGTTTCCTAATTCCGGTTTCCTTAACGAGTCTGAACAATTGCCTGCTATTACCTATTGCCGCTGCCTTTTCCATCTCTCTTGCTTTCGCTACCCACCACTGTTCACGATCATTGCGTAGACTTCTTGTCAGTTTGCGCTTAAGCTGACTCCTCTCTTCATTATGTTCTGGGCCAGGTGGAATGAGTTTTCGAGCATCTATCAGTGCGATAGATGCTGCTGAGATCCAGTGTTGCTCTCTAACCTTACGGTTTACCGTACTTGCAGATATCACTGGTGTTTCCACAGCTTTTCGGGTATCATTCCATGCTGCCTCGGGGTGGGCATCACATACATGGCTGCCTAACTGTTTTCCTAGTTGTTCCTGAAATATACTCTTAGCTTGACTATCATTAAGTAGGCCCCTAAGAGGTTTCCTTGCAGCATCTTCCCTACGTCCAGTAAGACGCAAGCAAATACGAGCTCGCACTAGAGCATGATCTGAATCTAAGCATGTGCTCCAGAATGAGCGACAGTTTTCTATCGAGCCCCTCCATCGGTGGCTGATAGCGATGTAATCTATTTGGGTCCAACGTTGGGACGAATTAGGGGGTCGCCATGTTAAAAGATGTTTTTCCTTATGCTTAAAATTAGTATTTGCAAGGAACAGGCGGTTATCTGAGCATAACTGCAACAGACGGTCGCCATTATCTGTTCTTTCAGCCACGACACCATAAGATCCACCTAGGTGTATTTCCCTATCGCTTAGTTTACCTACTTGAGCATTAAAATCACCGGCTACTATTACTACATCAGAGCGCCTAGCTTTTCGCAGAAGGTCCGAAAGCTTTCTGTAAAACTCATCTTTTACATCATCTGAGCTGCAGTCAGTGGGAGAATAGGCAGAGACGACGAAGAGGCAACGACGAGTGTCCCTATCGTTCCGGATTCTTACTGTTCCGTTTAGTCGGACAGCGCACAAACGACTGTCTACTGGGATCCACTCTAAGAGAGCTAGTTCTGCCCTAGGACCCAATGCTATACCTACACCGGCGAGGCCACGGGAAGCAGAATCAGGGCTTCCAGATACACGAAGCGTAAATCGAGTCGGTTCTTTATTTTGGCATGGTGAGATCAAATGAATGACGCTACTCGGATCCTGTATGCGCGTTTCGGAGACGCAGCACACATCGATGGCGCGAGATTCTAAAGTCCTAGCTAAGGAAGCCTGTTGTCCTATTTGGCAAAGTGTTCGTACGTTAAAAGCTCCTACGTGCAGTTTAGAGTGTGGTTTCGGGAGACCAGGAATAGCGTTCCACGTACTCGAATCGTTTGCCCTAGCGGTGCGAGGTGATAAAGAGACGTGTGGAGGGTTAGTCATGGAGATAAGAGAGGCATTAGGAGGTGTAGGAAGGATTTGAATGTGACCAACTTGGTCTCGTGTGCTGTTACGGGTATGAGGGCTGATGTCACTTCCCGGCTGCCCACACCGTGGAAGGGTATTTCTTGAGGAACCTGAAAAGGAAACTGGATTAGTGTTGGTCTTGACGACCTGGGAGCGTGACCGCAGAGCCCAAGGGACAACTGCTTGAGGCCGGTCGCGCACGGCCTTTTTGTGGAAGGTTTTTGACGTGTTAGCTCCGTTCTTCAAAGGGCCTTACCGCCGGAGAAGGAAATCCGTGAGGTAAGGTGAGGTGTGACATTTTTAGGGTCGACCTTAGCTAACCCCACCCCTTCTTGTGGAAAGGCAGCATCGCCGCAGATGCTGGTTGTTCGAGGGAAACACCTTACTGCTGTCACACCTCTCTACAGTCAGCAGTACGACTTCGCCCTCAGACCTTGGGTTGCTGCTTTTAGTCTTACCGTTCTCCAATCGACCTGCCTGGAATGGTAGAACCTACAGGAACATATGTTCCAGCCAATATAGCTCGGTTGGGTCATCACGATAGGCAAGCCCGACCACCATGTCAACGTAGCAGCTTCGGTCGGGATTAATACCGATAATCATCAGATGTACAGTCGACGAAGTTAGGCTGAACAAATTAATTTAATATTAGTCAAATATATGATATAACTCCGCCTGTAGCTCTTCTAGAGTTACTGCCGGTCCCATGTCCGGGTAAAGGAGGAGGGTTGGGTATGGGGTTAGCGACCCCATCCCGTAGAAAAATAACTCGCCAAAAAAAACGCTAACCAGAAAAAAATTCAAACCATTTAAACTCTGCCCTGAAAGTTAGAAGGTCTTCATTCAGAAGAATTATGACGCTTCATGGTGAAAGCCGAGTTCCTTCGGAAGCCACGAGGCCGATGCCCCTTCTAACAACCAGATCAACAATTTTTATAGGTACATGGAACGTCCGAACAATGTGGGAGACCGGGAAGACCAGTCAAATGGCAACGGAAATGAGGAGATACAACTTGGCAGTACTGGGAATCAGCGAAACCCATTGGACCCAAGCTGGACAACAAATGCTAAATACGGGAGAGATGCTGCTATACTCCGGCCACGAAGAGGAAAATGCTCCACACACTCAGGGAGTTGTTCTAACGCTGTCCAAAGTAGCACGAAATGCACTTGTAGGATGG